AATCATCAAGATATTCATAAAATATGTCATTCATTAAATGTTGGAATATAGCTAATGTATTAGTAAGTCCAAAAGACATGACATTGTATTCAAAATATCCATATCTAGTGTAAAATACTTTCTCCCATTCATCTCCTTCTTTAATATATACCAAGTTATATGCGCCTCATACATCAATCTTTGTGAAGATCTTTGCTTGGCTAAGTTGATCAAGAAGTCTGGATATTAATGGCAATAGATATCAATTCTTTATCATGATTTTACTAAGATTGCAATAATCGACGTACATCCGTACAGATCTATCTTTCTTCTTTAAAAATAATATTGGAACACTAGCTAGCTACTTAGAATGTCATATAAAATTCTTAGCCAAATTTTCTTCAATATATTCCTTTAAAGTTGCAAGCTCATTTTGGAATAAATTATAGATGGATCCAAATGGTGATTAAATACCTTCTTGAAGGTCAATCACACAATTATAAGCGTGATACTTTTGCAAGATGTCTGCATTTTTCTTTTCAAATATATCTGTAAAATCTTTATAATCCTCTGAAATTATTGTTGTAGTAACCATTGGTTCCGATTGTGGATTTGCATAGACAATAAACATAATGCCTTATTTGACTGCTTTCACAAATACTCCAACTCCAATAAATAAATATTGTTTAAGTTTTGGCTTATCAAGTATTAGAAGATTTTTCATAGATTTAGAGATTCTTTGATCTACTAGAAGAAATTTTAACTTTTGGAATATTCAATTTATTTATAGATTATATTTTTCAAGCTATGAGAGTCATAAAATGACTGGATTAGATGGTGATCTAATAACGTTGAATACTATTTAGGTGCTATGATTGTCAAAGGTTATTTTAATAGAATCATTTTGTGAGTGACATCTCTAAAGAATAAAAGTCGACCATCTATTACTTCTATATGTACAACTTTGGATTTTTTGACTATAAAAATTATATATGATTTAAAAAACATGGAAAGGCTCCCGAGTCAAGTAATGCATGACATTCTGTGAGAGACATGAAGCTCAAAGAAAGAGAATCCTCAATACACTCTTCTATCACTGAAGAGAACTAGAAAGTCACTCAAAAGCTGATATAATATTAACTAGAATGGCTATTGCCAAAAACAAGAAGATTAGAAAGTCTTAAATCAAGACTAAGATTAGAAAGATATACACAAGAGTGAAGAAGGCTTTACTCTTACCTCCATATATACTATCTAACTAAGAGCTACGTGGCGATGTCCTATAGGACTTCTAATATGGATTGACTATGCTAGCCACATGTCTTATCTTGTAAGGCAAGTTATCTATGTATGCGCCATGTAGTTGGCTTATTCCACAAGCTACTATACAGAGATAACTTGTTCCATAAGCTATCAATACATGGTTAGTTTTTTGGCCAAGTTTTTAATCTATAAACACATCTAAAGTCAAAATCTTGTCTATGAAGCTTCTAAGAAGCTTGTCTAGAAGATTTTATGAAATTATTCTATATTTACCTACTTCTACTTAATCATATAAGTAACTATTGAGATAAATGTACATGTCCGTGACATTATCCACCTATCTCAAGACGAGTTCTTTGAGGAGCGATCTTCATATATTAAGGAAGTCCAAGATGTGGCAAATTATATTTGCTACATACTTCGATCTTTACTCTCTTCAAAGATAGTTGATAGATCCTCTCAACCATCTATAGTGTCTCATACTAAGGCGAGAAGATCACACTGTTATTTGGTCATTGTTGAGACCTTCGTAACTTCCTTCAAATAAAACATTTAGAACAACATCAGGAGTTGTTCCTACCTCTAATGAAATCACTAAACATTAGAAGTTTCTTCAAAGGTCATGATACCAAACACGTTGTATCTCGCCATCTATTCAAAGAAGAACATGTCATTCTTGAGGATCTTCATCTTGATTCCATCGTCTTGAAGGTTGTGACAATCATAACATCTTGTTTAGTAAGTCCACAAATAAAGGTCTTGAATTGAATTTGCTTATTGTTGGTGCTCCATCTTATCACAAATACACAGAAGCTATAATGAAAGATAGAAGATAGAATGTTATTTTCGTTTGATCTTATTTCTTTTATAGCAAAGGTTTGCTATTCTTCATCTTGATTTTGATGGATGTCGTTGATGAAAGACTTCAACTTTCTTTGATGCATTTACAAGATTCTTTGATGGCTCCCATGTGCGTTCACTAATATCATATCCGCACCAATAAACAAGATATTCCAACCTATTTTGGTGCCACCTTAAGTTTAAGACTTCTTCTATCTCAAACTCTTGGTTATTATCGACTTCTATGGGTAGAGGTGGCCTTTTTTTTTGTTCTCAAGATATTCATTATCTTCTACGGCTCCAGAAGAGACACGTGAAATACAGGGTGGATCTTCATAGACTGTGATAGATATAATCGATAGGCAACAGGATTGATTTGTTCACAAATAGGAAAAAGTTTCACTCTATCATAATCTAATTTATTACAAGAACGAGTAGTCTTGATATTACGACAAAGTAACCATACCTTGTCATTCATATTATATTATGGTTGTTCCTTACAATAGGCATCCACATTGATCTTTTGTCGTTCTTGAGCTTCCTTTAATTGTATCATCATTTTTGTATGTAGCTCTGACAAGCGATTTACTAAATCTTTTGCTGCATGATTATCAAATTTTGAAAAGTTAAAAGTATCAAGACGTGGATTGTAACCATAATTGGCTAAGAAAGGTGTTTGTTGAGTGGAAGAATATATCAAATTATTACATGCAAACTTTACCAATGATAAAAGAGTTGTCTAATCATATTGATGATAATTGATGGTACATCTAAAATACTACTCCAGAACTTGATTTATTCATTATGTTTGCCCATCAGTTTGAACATGAAAAGCTGAAGAAAGCTTTATATCCACGTTTAGAATCTTGAATAGAATTCTCTAAAATCTTGATACAAATTGAATCCCCGTATATGATATAATATCCTTTGGTAATCCATGATAGCAATAGATATTGTTAATGAAAAGCTTAGTTGTTCCTTTACATGTAATAGATTTTGTACATGATACAAAATATGCCATCTTGGTAAAATGATCTACTATCACGAATATAAAGTCATAAAAACCTAAGATTGGAAGATTCGTGATGAAATCCATAGAAACAAAAGACCATGGTTGTTTTGGAATAGATAACGGTTAAAAAAGACCATAAGGTTGATGATGAGGAGTTTTTGATCTTGAGCAAACATCACAAGATTGTACAAAATCTTTCACTACCTTCCACATTTGTGGCCACTAAAAATCTCTAGATATTAGTTCCAAAGTTATATTGTACCCAAAATATCCTATTGCTGGAAAGTCATGACGAGCTTAAAGAACATGTAATTGACCTTCACCTATTAGAACATATAGGCATCCTTTGAAATATAGTAGATTATTCTTGAATCCAAACTTGGAAGTATCATGGGACTTCGAGGAAGTATCCTTGATATCTTGAACAAGAAGATCAGAGGACATTCTTGATTGAATTTTCTTCACAAATGTTGAATCAACAATCAATGTTGATTTTATAGGTCGAAGATGAAAATATTCGATCTTTAAGAGAATTGATCTTTATTGATCAAAAGATGCATCTCTTTCTTAAAATTTCTAAATTTTACTTTATAAATACATATAATCTTTTTAAAGATATTTTCAAGAAAAATAAAATAAAACTATATTTTTTTGTGTAATAAATATCTTTTATTAATATCAAAATTAAAATATATTTAATAAAAGAATTTTTTTAATAGGTTTTTATTTTTATTGAAATAATTATAATATTATTATCTACCATATATATATATATATATATATTAAAAAAGAAAAAAAAAATATATGTTTGTATACATATTATTTTAATAATATAAATAAAAATACTACAAATTAGAATTCTTATTAATGCATATAAACCTTTTGAATAGATTATTAGAAGTACTTATATGCTAATAAGTAATTGCTAATCATATTTTGTAATTGCTAACTATATTATTAATAATTCAAGAACTAATAGATCTTTTGAATATTATCTATAGTTTATAATTGAAAAGCATATTATTAATAGTTCTTTATTATATATTTAAATTAGATCTAATTTTTAAATTGAATTTAGTTAAGTAAAAATTGAATTTAGTTAAGACTAAAGAAAGTCCCTTGTGTAAATAAATTTAATCCCTATAGAGTTGTATTTGATAAAAGAAACATTCATTGTAATAATGCATGTAGTTTTATTTATTTATTTATATATTTTATTATTTTAAGATTTTAAAGATTTCTTTACGCTTGTTTCCAAAAAGATTGATTTTTCTAAAAAGAAACAAAACAAAAAGATTTAATGTTCTATCTAATTTATATGAAAATATATGTGATTATTGGTATCAGTATAGATATAAGATAATTGTATTTATGACAACCACGACGTGTTTTTTCTTTTTCATTTTCTTTTATCTTTCATAGTTGTTACTTACCAAAAATTCACTCAAATTATTTTTGCAACATAATGTTCAAAACACTATTGTGTTACTGTTTCATGTTTTTCTTTTTAAATATATCATCCTGCAATTCAGTTTTCTCATATTTTAATAGATTCACCCGGTTTCTTTTGTTGATCAGTGATATGGGGACTTTAAACATTTTTTTCCATATAAGAATATTGACCTTAAATTGATTATCATATAAAAACAATTCTTAAATTTATAACTAAAATTTTCATTTGAAATGTTTACAGCATTTCATAGCTTCATTCTTCATAGCCAAAATACATTTCTCTAGTCATTACTTTTCCTAAACCTACTATGTAATTAAAATAAATTCAAATTCATTAAGGAGCTTAATAAAGTCTCACCTTTCAGCCACAGGCACATTTCTTCAAACCCCCCCTTTTCTTTTTTTTTCTCTTCAACAGTAGAATGAATCCAATTCCTTACGTTGTTCAAGCTAATAAATCAATAATCAATAATCAATAAAATTTAAAATCATAGAGTTTACATTTTGTAATTCTAATAAAAAGAGATTTTCATGCAAAACTTTCAAACCCTGATTTCGAAAGTCAAGAACTCAAAAACTCCAACTCTAAAATCCCTGATTACAGAATTTTTTCCCCCATAGTAGCAGAATTGAGGAAGAACCCATACATGAATAATAAAATGGTGGAGCGACGAAACACCGGCGCTGAAACGATAAAAACAACGAAAATGGAACAATTACGCAACGAAACGGCGGGATTTGAAAGATGGGGGAAGAGAGCATCCCGAGGTGTGCATCGAGAGCAACGCCGAACAACTGTCTGGAGCAGCGCAACATTTGAACGACCCCACAAAAGCAGAAGAGAGCACAAATTGAACAGGAAAAGCAAAAGAAGGTGAAGAATTCTCACGAAGAAGGCGAGCACTCCCTCCAAGAGAATCATCACAAACCGGATCGACGACGACGACGACGACTCACGGTGATCTGCAGAATTGGGCTCCACAATCACCCCACCCTACTCCCACCTCATCGAACTCAACGTCGGAGATTCATCACCACGGCTTCCAATCACCTCTCCTCGCACTCGAATCCTCCCGAACGCTCCTCGACTTCTCAACCCACGAAGCCGTGAGTGGATGTTGAGTTCGTAACGGAGAAACACAAAACCCTAAGAATAGCAAGAGGACTAGCTGGTGATATACTAGCGGAACTGGCAGAACAGGATTCAACCCCCGTGGGGTTGAAAGAGAATAAGTGTGAGTGTGCATGGGACTAGGGTATATAATATGGGGGGAGTCGGCGGGAGAAGGAAAGAGATGGCGAACGCAGAGCCACTTGGCAACCCGCACAGCTGAGCTGGTCCGCGAAGGTTCATCCAACTGTAGTAGACCCCTTTGTTGGGGCTGCGGAGGCAACCTGAGCTATGTGAGAATTGGAAATGATGCCGGTGCTTTTATTGAAGATCTCACTCAGGTGCCAGAGACTGCCCATAGAGTGTGGATGCCGTTACAATCCCCCTTCCCCCACAGGTCAGATGAGAGAGAGCGGAGGAATTGTCAGACTTGGGGTTTGGATCGAATGCCAACCATCCGGCTCCTGACCACAGCATCTCTCGCATGAGTTCGGCTGCATATGGTGGGGCATTTTTACAGCTGGTGTGTGCCTCTGTCGTAGACCCCATTAACGTCGTTGACATTTCCGTTCGCTGAGCCTGTACGCGCACGCCTCCTGCTTCTGTGGGACCCTTGTTACATGCAGTCCATGCACAGACATAAGGCAGCACGTCGTATTTCTGGGTGTTAATTTCGTTTAGAAGGTTCTATCGTCTGAACATCGTCACTTCTTCTTGCAAGATTCTTCACGTTCATGCAGAAACTCTGACCGGGTTTGTTTAATTGGCGAGAATGATAGTCTATTAAGTGTGCGCCCGTAGTAAAAAAGGAAAAAAAGAAAGAAAAAAAGGTGAGCTGAAAGGGCAACTGCTTGCTATTGCCTGAAAATGTTATTCTAAACAAAAGCATTGAATAATTAATAAGATAATGAATAAAATTAAGTAAAAAAATAAAATTTATATTTATATATATATATATATATATATATATATTTCTGGCAAACTACTTAAATGTTAATGCACTTCAACAAATCTGCATTTAGAAATCTAGTTTAAATGTAGAAAATCACCAAAAGTAAGAACCAAGAAACCATCTATAGAAAAATCTAATAGGACAAGCAAATTGTGTTGCATCTCTTGCAAGGTCACAAGAATACACAACTCGTCCACTTATTATTAAGCAAAGGATTCTCTGATATTACATTCTTCAATATTTTCACATGCCACATTCAATAATTAAGCAGCTGACTATACACACACTCCTCTTTTGATGGGCGCACACCCCCCTTTTAATCAAATGACATTTTTCAACCATCATTGACTACAAGTTCGACTTAATAAAAGAACTGATGGCTTGAGTTTGAAAGTCAACAGCTCTCACCATGTATTATTATCAGGGTGATATTTAGATGCTCATCTAGGCCATCCTTATGTGCATGTGATTATTGAATCTTCAATAAGTATTATTTGTTTTTGTAATAAAATAAGATGTTACTTTTGCAACATCTGCTATTGATACAGTGAAAGATATTCATATTGTTCTTCAACTTGCTATAAAACTTATCCAAACAAGTTAGATTTTCTATCAATAGTAGCAACTGCTAATTTTTTTAAGCCACCAATATTCAAAGAAAATATCCATAGTCAGTTTGTTGGTAGATGATGCAAGAATATTATAAATTATATATGCAATAGACAAGCCAAGCATACAATGAGCGTCTGTGGAATACTTGACTAATAGCTCATCCCATGATGCATTGAATGTTGCCTCATCAGTAGCTCATTGTCTTATTTTAGTTATGCATAAATTCTTCTAAGACTCTCATTAAATAGAATTTTTTTGTAGATTTGCCAACATATTTTTGTTGATATGTTAAGCATTGTTGTATTATAACACAACTATATAGTGAAAGATGATAATATGGATCTTATTATAGAAGAGCCAAGTTAAATGATAAAATAAAAAAATATAGATAAAAGATAGAAAGGTAATAAAACTTTTAGTAGTAATGCTACTTTTTTAGAAAAGTGACTTCTACTTACTTTATAGGACCATAAATAAGGCAAAATAAGGTAGATTGGAAAAATAAATAATAAAAGTATCTTTAGGAGGAAGTTGAGAGTAAATTCTAATAAAAATCACCAAGAAAAACTAGATATTAATATCCAAAGAGGATTGGTTATGAACTAGGATCGAAATCAGATCCCAAGGCATAAAACCAAGCCTCGACAACGATTCTGGGGTTCTTTTGTAAATCAAAGAGTGGAATTTGATAAGAGACTAGAGTTGGTTTCTATAAGCATTAGTTTTGTGTGATTTTGATTTGTAATGACTTTGTAAAGGCTTTACAAACTCAAATTTGTTTCAGATGACTTGGGTTTTTGTGAAATAAAATAGAGTTGACATTTAGAGCAATTTTGAAAGTTTTGTAATAGATCTACAAGTAAAATTTTGTGGATTAGTGGTAATATTTGTGCTTAATATGTGTTGTAAATTTTAGCTTGATCTAATGATTAAATTGAGGATTATTTGAAGTTCAAGTGGGTCATGGTCTCAAAAAGTAGAATTTTAGGTCTAGTGAGGGTTTTTAAGATTTCTTGCAATCTATTAGTTGGATTGAAGTGAAATTTTATGTGTGAGGATAGTAGACTTATTTTTCTACATATATAAATTTTTTAAAATCAATTGAATGGTAAAAAAGAGAAATATTGGCTTTGGAAGATTGGCATCAAGGTCGAAGAAGGACGCCAGCCAATATCCAAGCACGTTTTTGAAGTTATTGTCTATTTAATAATTTCGATCTTTTTCAAATTTTTTTATACTTGTTGTCAAATTAATTATTTAGAAGTGTGAAAATTTTGTTTAGGATTTAAGATTTAGTTAGTTTTTGGTCTAAATTTTGATTGAAGTCCAATAGGATTTTAACTAGGATTAAATTAAGATTGGATTGACATTTATTTGAGATATATTTGTGATCATTCTAATATTTCTTTAAGATTTCTTATTGTTTCTTTGTAATTCCTTTAAGATTTCTTTGAATTGATTAAAGCTTGATTAGCATTGTTATTATCTAATTAGAGTTTAATTAGTATTCTATTAAAGTTAGGATTTTGTTGTTGCAATTTCCATTCTATCTTCCACAGTCAAGTGCTCAGAGCATTCTCAAGCAGGACTTCACGTATTATGATAGCATAAAGAAGACTTGATGCATTAAGTAATTAAGCACAAATGATCGACATTAGCACAAATTCTTTGTTTGGTACAACTTGAAATTGACACTCTATGATTAATATTTCTTTGATTTTGGTTAAAGTCCTAATATTATTATTTTTTGTCTTGTCTATCATGAAATAAAAATAAGAAAAAACTGTTTAGCTAATTGAAATCATGCTGATGACATGTAATAGCAAAATTTTAAATCAATTCATTTTGTAAGTCAAGTCCATGAGGATCACATGTAAAAATTCTTGTGCTCGTGCCATTGCCTTAAGTAGTACAAAGAAAAGATCTATGAGTCATCTTTTGGCATCACATTAGTAGGCATGCTACATAATCTTAGTGCATCAGTCATCCAACAAAATTTCAAGTGTTGTCCATCCATTGAGCTCCTTATTTTAAAGATGAATTTTCTCATTGTAAATATCTTTCAAAACAAATTAAGAGTTGGCATTTGATTGTTTTAAGGTTGGAAGAATGAATTTAGGCATTGTACTTCGATTTAATATTTGTTTGATGGTTTCACAATCATTGAGAAATAATTTGTATGTAGCCAAAAATGTAGACAAGTCTCCTATGTCTTTGTCATGGATATATATATATATATATATATATATATATATATTATAATTTTTATCTAAATAATATAAATAAGTAGAATTAGGTAAAAAGTAAATTAATTTCATAATATCTTTTAGAAAAGCTTCCTAAAAGCTTTATAAATGTTGTTTTGACTTTATATATGTTTATAGTTGATTAATAGATTAGAAAATTGGTCAACAAGCTAAGCACATGCTACATGTATTGGTAGCTTGATGAATAAGCTAACTATGTGGTCCCCATTTTAAAAACTTGCCTTACAAGTTAAGATACATGTCATGTAAAGTCAACACGTTTTTGGAGGTCTTATAGAACATCACAATATAGATCTTAAGTAAATAGTATATATAAAGGTAAGAGTGAAACCTTCTTCATTCTTATCAACTCCTTTCTTGTTTTTAGTTTAGTTTCAAGAGTCTTTAGTTTCCTTGTTTTTTGGCACTAGATATTTTAATTTTCTTTTTAATATATATACTTCTTTATTTCTATTTCTTTGAGAAAATTTTACTTGTTTATTTGCTTTTATCAAATTTTCTTGGTTGTACTTTGCATTTCTAATTTAAATTCTCTACTCTACTATGCATACATCATTAAAAATTTTGCATTGCACTATTGCATTCATCATTGACATCAATGCATTTTTTGTCAACTACTAGAGCCATATCATTCTCATATAATTCAATCAAGAAAAGTTGTTTAATAGTAACAAACTAGTGATAACTAATACACCTTGTACTCATCTTCTTTTTACATGTTTTGTCAATGAAAAACAACTATTGTTACAATAATTGCTACTATGACCACAAATGAGCCAATTTTTTTTGTGGTCGCTAACCTTGCTCTTCTTTGCAAGCAATCTTGACATCACATATTCCTCCAAAAGAGCAAACATTTGCACCTTGGCATCTACTTTTCCAAGTGACTCATACTCAGTTGTTTGGTGGAGCCAACAATATGTTATCAGAGGAAAGGAAGGCACAAGAGAAAGGTGCATCCAACAGAAGGGTTAAAGGGGGATGTGCCCGAACAGAAGTATTAAATAGGGGTGTGCACGTAGTCGGCCCCTTTAAGTCGAACTTGCAATCAATGGCGGTTGAAAAATGCAGTCTAATTAAAGGGGTGTGCACATAGTCGGCCCCATATTTAAAAGCATGTGCTGACTGCCTCACTTCTAAATGTCTACAGCTTCACACTGCTAGTACTCCATCTGCACCCACCTGTCGTATCTAACAACTACAATGTTCAAGCAATCACTCATTCGAAATTCATAGACAACTCTGCACAATATCCACCATCTACCCTTTCTGTACCAGCAATGGTGAGCTTCAGGACTTGGACAAACGATCAATTAAAACAGTCGCACCCTTGCTCTACAACTTTGATTCACCTGTGAAGGCATAAAGCAGCTACTACAGAAAGGTGTTATGTAGAATGCGTCAATCCTCCTCCAAGTGACACACACATAAGCTTAAAACGAAATGAACAACAATCCCGCTGGTGAACTTCGTAGACAGCACACATTCAACCAACTCGTGAAAGCAATAATCCTACAAGTTCCAATTTACATACTGCTCACAGTGCGATGTGCTTTTTTGCTACATGTGAGCATCTCAGAATATTCCCCTGAGGAATTCTCAAAAAGAAATCCATTGGTTCCTTCTCCAACATGAGCATCACCCTGCTCAAACACAACAAGTTCCAATACCCGGGTCAGACGTTTTGCTTTGAGGTTGTGCGCTCCAATCCGCAATTAGTTCAGCATGTCCATTTGAAAACTGTGCTGCCACTCCATTTCCACACAGATCCTTTTAAACTGTTGCTCTAGCATGTTAACATAACTTCTAAGCAAACGAAGTATTCAACAAACCTCCTCGTCGTCATCTTCATGCTTACGTCCAAGGAGAGTGGTCGGCATCTCATCATCCATATTCTTTGCAAAACGACCTCGAACTCTTGGGCGACTATCTGCCAATGTTTTGCGGCAGGCGTACTGGAGGAGCATTGCATAAAGACCAAGAATGGGTTATTGTTTAACATTCACTGAGGATTTGATCAGAGAATTGTTTTTTCTTCTTGAAATCGCTGTGGCCTTGTAGACTTGCTGCAGGACGTACAAACTGGACCAACCGGCTTCTGAACGGTCTTTCACAACTACCGACTACGGAAAATAAAAATAGTTGCAGCTGATGCGTCAAAAGAGAAGCGTAGATGTACCTTGATTTTTTTGTTAAAATTGCGCTGCGAGCGCTTCTGCTGATACCTAGTTATCCTTATCTTCCGCTCTTCCATGCTATACTTCCCCACCCTGTAATTTCCATCATCAAAACTTGGTGATGCACTTCCTGTCAGTCTCCCTTGCATGCCATTCAAAGTCTGCACAGAATCAACGACACAGTATCGTCGTAACTGTCAGTACATAATCCCCTCGCATAAGAAAATATACGAGTCAATTAGAATGTGTGCATTTCACTGAACAAGTCAACTCGATAAATACTTTACCTGGATGTCCCCCGCACTGTAGACACGACGCATACCAACGTTGGGCATAGACCGCATGCCAACGCTCTGAAATTCACCTGGATTGGGCTGTAGGCGCGCTCCGGGGCTTGTCAATGCTCCAGAGCGATCCATCTGCGAGTGGCGAGAATTCACTCCATTCTCCACAGAGGGTGGTGCAGAGCCCATGTGCCGAAGTTGGCCTAAGGCATGACTGCTGTAGCTCCGCTGCATACTCGGTCGAGTCATTTGAGGCAGAGGTTGCAATCCATCACCATCTCCATCCACCTAAAAATTGGGAGAAAATATTTTCATAAATGAAAACACATCGTTATGCAAGAAAATTTCGCTGGACCTTATGCTTAAGAAGCGCCCAACGAGTTGAACAAACATTCAAATTGTACGCCACAATCATATGAGTACGGTGGCCAACAATTAAACGAAGAGACCAAACGCCACAACAGTACCTGATCAACAAAGTTATCTGTATCAACTGCTCCTTCCTGGATGCTGTAGAACTGTTTTTCTTGAGACATTTTCATCCCATTTTCACCCCCAACCAGCTGCTCGACTTGTTCTTTACCATCCGAAGAGGTTGAAGACAATACTGGTGACGAATTGCCGTTCATGGAAGACAAACCACTGTTCTCTGCCGCAGAAGTTAACATCTCCTGGCTTCCAAACCTATACATCCCATTTGTAGCTGGCTGCGACGTCACCACCTGCAGAGTGGGCGACGGTTGTGAAGATGACGTGAACTGTTTTGTTCCACCATCCGCAGGCATTACTCTTACCGAAGGGTAAACCATCCCCGATGAAAATCCCGTACTTGTCGTAGTCTTCGTATCAAATGAAGGTGGACGGAAGGAAGGTGCCATCTGGCCGAGAGTCAGCCCATTCAGCTTCTCAGACGCCACCATGGCTGGTGACACTAAGCCTGGGGACATAGCCTGGCTCATTGTGGGACTTGAAGGAGATCTCATCCCTGTTACACCATTTCCTGGCAAGTAAAGCCCGGACATACCATATCCCAAACCCATGTTCTCCAGGTCCAGTGTCGGTTTATGAAACACATAGTTGGAGTGCAGAGGAGCATTTGAATACGGAGCACTGTTTCCGGGTGCTCCCTGCTGAATTATAGAATTAACGTCACACTTCGCCTCCACCTCATCTACAAAGGAGTTTAGTCCTGTGGATTTAAAAATGTCGCGGGTTTCAAATGCAGTCAAACCGGACCCTGCAATGCTGTTAAACGTGCCATCCTGGTGACAAGCACGATGTACAATTCAGAAATCACTCCAGAAACAAAATTACAGGTATCTTAACTAAATAATAGTCAGCATGGTCTCCATACGGGTCCTGCGTGCTTTACCGTGCTCTCGTACAACAGCAACTCTACGTGGGAGAAAAACCAGAAAAGACCTTTTGCACCAGCAAAGGTGCCACATTTATCAAGCTAGACATATTTACGTGCGATGCATCCTTACTACGAAGAAATGCAGGTGCTGCAAATAATGTAGAAGGAGAAGCATCCATTGGAGTGTGAAGCAATTGTTAAGGCTTCGCCCAACACTGAAATTGCTAAACAACCAGGTGCATGGACGAATTGGAACCCGCCAACGGGAATTGCTGAGAGTTGCTGACAATACGATTAGTTTCTCCTCCGTAATCCCAAACACGCGAGGCGTGTTGCAACACCGGAATTCTAACAGAACATCACTAAACCACAGTAGCCCTTCATTACGAGAAAATCAAGCACAACTAGACATCAGTCGTCATCACAAAAGGTAAGACGGAATTGTGAACACAACCTATGACGAAACATGTGATGAAAGGAGAGACTCACATCAAGTCCGCTAACGTGGCCAAATGCCTCAAAATTAAGTTCATCCGCATTGTCAAGCAGGCCATCTGAGAAAAACAACGCCTCCGCGTCCGACTGATTGAGATACAACTCTTCCTCTCCAGACATTTAGAGAGCCGCGAATGATTTATCTCCCACGAGCGAACTCGCGAATCCAACCAGACCCGCAAGCAACGCCACGCAAGTCCAAAACAACCCCCCTCCTACAACTCCCCGAAACTTCAGCGTCCACCCAACACTCCCATCACACTAACCTGTTGTCCCCACTCATGTTGTCTGATTGTCTCTCCTCCCCAACAAATTCCACCCTGTACCCACAACAAAACTACCGCAAACTGAAGAGAATCCCCACCAATCTCCACCCCTCGCTCTCTCGCAACCCCCTAGCTAAATCCAAGTCTACTTCAAAAGTGCTCTCTCAAGTGTGTTGCCACAACACAGACTCACCAAAACCTCAACTCGAAAACTGTGAAGAAGAAGAAGCTCACAGGGCTCTTTGCTGCTGCTGCTGCACCGCCCAAGTAAACAATGGGAGAGAAGGCTGCGATGACTTTCCAGGAGAGAGAGAGAGCAGAGAGGCCTTGAGATCAAGCGATGGAGGTCATCGATTTCGCACGAGTACAATGGCGATGCAACGCAGCACGGACGGAAGCCCCGTGGAAGGGAAAGGGAAATGAAGGGAAACGAAAGGAAAGGGAAGGAATCGTCTCAAATACAGACGGAACAGAACAGAACAGAATAGAGCCCCCTCCCCTCTCCCCCGCCTCCCTGCGTGAAGTGAGCGACTGAGAGAGTGAGTGAAAGTGAGTGAAAGTGAGTGAGGCAGTGAGTTCAAGCTCCAACACCCGCCTGGTTATCAACAATCCCGGGTATCAACAACCGCGCTTCTGCAACCATCCCGACTCGTGGCCGTGTGAGCGGGCCCCTGAGAGTGAGCAGCACCCATCCATCAGGAAGGAGGAAGCAGAGGACCCAGATGCCAGTAGAGCGATCATCAACAGTCCCATTCCCCATTGTACCACCCCCTCCCATGCCGTATTTCAGCATCTTTTTATGTACTATGCTGTGTGTATTAATCAATCTACACGGAATTGCTTGCTTGCTAAAGCCCACCCCCCCCCCTTCAATGAGCACACCCCTACTACGGGCTTAGCCCTGTTTTCAACCCACTCCACCCATTACTTGAAAAAGGCATAAATCCACGCTTCCCTGTTTAGCCTCTATTTAGTGAGAGATTGCTTGCTGGCCCCCCTATTTTTGTAACCGCTACTCAAACCGAGCGTGGTCCCCATAATTTCTGGGGGTCCCGGGGGGGAGGAGAAATCTTTGCAGTCGCCCTCACGCCTGAGTCATGCAAGAGTGCCCTTACATGGGAACGCGATCCTTTTTCCCTACAAGCCCCCATCATAGAAAACATTCTGTCTCTCTCTCCTTCAAACGGGAATGGGAATGGGGGCGGAATCGCATGATTGCAATTTACTCAGGGCGGGATCCCCGTCCCCCCACTCCTCCCCCGAACCGGCGCAGCCTCGGCACACACTCCTCCTCTGGTAGCCTCGGACCTCAGGTTTGGATCAACGCGGGTTCCATCAATAAGCATCCCGGCCTGCTCCACCCTCGATTGGTCGCCCTCCTGGAAAACTCCATACATCCATAAACCCACACATCCATCCATCCATCCCACTCTTAATCTCTTTCTTTCACTGAGTGGCTTTAAGGCCTGTACTTGCCAAGAATGTTCCCCCACGTTTTACCTCTCTCGCCCTCTCTCTCACTCTCTAACTTTTGCTTTTTTGCTTTATGCTTTAATGGTCAATAGATGAGAATGTAATTAAATGTAGGATGCATATTTTAAGGAAAACACCAAAATAGGAGATTTGATACCTAAACTTGGGCAATATTAATTTGCACTGCGACTCTTTGGTTTAGGAATCCCATACTTTCCTGGGTCTTTCCTTTTTCATGTATAACTAGGTGGGTATGACTTTTTTGCCCATTTGTGGGAAAGTGTTTCATTTCGGAGGTTTGCATTCCATTAAATAAGTAAATAAATAAATAAATAAATCCTAATATTGTTGCAATTTGAAAATCTTCATTTTTTTATGTGTGTTATTATTTATTATTGTATACTAATTTTAATACCCGTGTAATAATTTTGATACAATTATTACACCATTTTTTTAAAAATTATCAAAGAATTATTTTTTTTGCATAAATAATTCTCATATGTTTGGCTTTAAAATATTTTCCTTGTACATCCATATCTTATGCATACTATTATTGTGTGGTTTAGTATAAAAGTTTTAACATGCCACATAATAGAAGTTGAACTATCTTTCAAAACCATCAAATAAGTTGGTTGAGATGAGTTTTTCTCTTTTCTATTTTGTATGCACACATGATTAAGCTGAAAAACATGTTACCTATAAAATCATTTGATTGGCAACTTGGTCAATAACTTTGTTTGTTACAAAAGAAGCGTTTCATCACTACACATTAAGTGACTTATCATTTTCAAATTGTAAATAGGTAAAATAAAGTACTACTTTAAAACTTTAGTTTTTTTTATTGAAATCCAACTTGTTGTACAAGATAGATCAAAGTTTGTAGAAAAGAATCAATTAAAAGAAACAAACATCATCTATACATGAAAATATTTCTAATGCATTTTAAATATAAAAAATGTAAAGAATAGATATTATTCTTTTACTTATCAACAAGTTTTTATATATATTATTATGAATTTAATCTTGTAATATCTTTAATATTTTGTTTAATTGAAAGAGATTGGATTACTCTTCTCTTCTACTGTTGTTTAAATATATAAATATACATTATTATGTCATAAGATATTTAATGCTTAAATATACATATTATCATGGATATATATAGATATTCTAGTAAATATCTATAAAATTAGATAGAAGTAGATAAAAATAAGTTAATTTCATAATACCTTTTAGAGAAGCTTCCTATAAGCTTCATAGATGTTGCTTTGATTTTATATGTATTTGTAGTTGATTGATAGGTTAGAAACTTGGTCAACAAGTTAACCATGTATTGATAGCTTGCAAAACAAGCTAACTATGTGGCGCATATGTAGAAGACTTGTCTTGCAAGTTAAGATATGTATCTTGTAAAGTCAACATATTTTAGAGGTCTTATAGGACATCGCGATGTAGCTCTTAGTTAAGAGTATATATGGAGGGAAGAGTGAAGTCTTCTTTATTCTTATCAATGCCTTTCTAGTCCTTAATCTTATTTCGAGACTTTCTAGTCTTCTTATTTTTGGCAATAGCCATTCTAGTTCAATATTATATCATCTTTGAGTGATTTTTTAGTTTGTTTCAGTGACACAAAGAGTGTATTGAGGATTTTCTTTCTTCAAGATTCATATCTTTGATAGTTTGACAAGAATACTAATTTATTATTTTTATCTTATTTTAGAAGTGAATGAATTATCTCACTTCTATTGTTATGTTTTGAAGATTGCAGACTATTTTTTAACATTGATTTTTTTTTCAAAGAGAGTGGATTATCCCTCTTTGTAAAAAATTTCATTTGCTATTAGAGATTTCAGATTATCCTCCCCTAATTTAATATTTTGAATTTAATTTAATTTTCTATAAAAAAAAAAATTAAAAGATACTAATCTTAGTAGAAGTGAGAATAGATATGCAACTATTGTAGAACTTCATGAATTTTTCAACATTCTAAGAAAAAAAAACTCACATATTTCTAATGTAAATTATGGAAGTACTATACCTATGCCTATAGAAGAAGTTCAAAGTCTATGGCAAGAAGTTGTGCAGCTGATGGACGCAAGTAGATTGACCTTGCAACCAAATCCATGGAATTTTACTTCTACAAATATGATGGGAACAAGGATTAGTATGCCTGAGAAGTTTGATGGAACAAGATCAAAATTTTGAGGATTTTTGCAATAAGTCAAGCTTTATCTAAGGTTGCATCTTTTCCAATATCTTGATGGATTTACTCAAGTTGGATTCATAGGTACACTTCTATCAGGAAGTACCTTCTCTTTGTTTTTACTTTTAATAAAAAAGAATTTGTGACTCTTTTATGATTTGAATTCATTCATAAAAGTGTTTATGGCCACATTTGGAGAAAGTGTTTAAAAAAGAGTAGTAGAGACCAAGCTCTTATCTTTATGGCCATATTTGGAAGAAATAATCGAGAAAGAATAGTAAAGATCAAGCTCTTATCTTTACAGCAAGGATTACAGTCAACTATCATATATGCTGCTAAATTTCAAAATCTAACTTAGAATATGGACTGGAATAATAAAGCTCTTATCAATCAATTTTGATATGGGTTGAAGATTAATGTCAAAGATTTATTACTAAGAATGCAAAAGGTAGAATCTTTAAAATAATTTATTATTCAAGCCATTGCATGTGAAAATTCATCATTTAAAAGACGTCAAGAACAAAGATTTGGCTCAAGAGGAACAAATCAAATAATGACAATAGCTCCCAAGTTTTCAGAAACTTATTCATGAAGACTAAAATCAATACAAATTGATACAATATATTTTAAATCCCTCACAAAGTAGGAAAAGAGTCGACGACATCAAAAGAACTTATGCTTATATTATAGAGAAGCTAAATACATTACTCAATATTATTCAAAGAAACAATGTAATCACAAAATGAGATGTATGGTTGCCAAAGAAGATGAGGTGTTTGAAAAAAAAAAAAAATCCAACTACAATAGGGACCATGCGGCTAAAATCTTATATAACTCCTAATAAAGGTCTTATTCTTTCTTCAAGTCCCTCATCGTATTTTATAATAGAAGTTTATTTAGGACTAAAAAATTACTAAGTTTTAGCTTTGTTAGATTCAAGATCGTCAATATGTTTTAGAGATGAAGATTTTGTCCAAAAACAAGAGATATTATTAGTCAAAAATACTAAATTTATACATATAGAAGTCATAAATGGTTATTTGCTATCTTTTAGAGATGTTACACATGAGATTGTTCTTTTAGATATAACAATTAAATATCATAATAGCATAATAATATTTAATGTAATAAAATCTCCATTCAATTTGGTTATTTTAGGATTAACTTGCTTAAATAAGTGTAATCTTCAAATAGATTGGATTTTTCATAACCTTAATTTTTTTGATAATTTAATCCAAAATCTTATTAGTCAAGTAAAAATACATAAATTTAATACATCTAAACCTTTACTAGTACATGCAAGAGCGTTTACGCATGCTACAAAAGAAGGATTATATTTTGCTTTACATGCCATCCTTGTTTCTAATGGTGAGAAGATGTGAAGTGGTATTCCTAATCAATATCAAGACTTTCAGGATGTTTTTGAAAAGAAGAATGTAGATATTCTTCTAGAGCATCGTCTTTATGATTGTTCAATTGATCTTCACGAAGGAGCTCAACCACTATTTGGACCAATCTATAGCTTATTACCAAATGAGTTGGTTGCACTCAATCAGTACATTGATAAAAACTTAGCTAAGAATTTCATACATCATTCTAAATCTCTAGTTGGAGTTTTTATTTTATTTGTGAAGAAAAAAGACAAATCTCTATGGATGTGTATAAACTATCGAGGACTCAACAAGATCACCATCATGAATATGTATCTTCTACATTTGATTTCAAGACTTCTTGATCAACTAAATCAAACAAAGATCTATATAAAAATAGATCTATGAAGAATATATAATTTGATATGCATTAAAAAAAGAAGTAAATGGAAGATTATTTTTTAAACTAGATATGGATATTTTGAATGTAAT